ATTCTACTTATAGGAATCCTCCATCCTTTAGAAAAGTATATAACAGTCTGTAGACCAATTAAAAGATTCAAGCCTTGCTTCAAACTGTCACTAATCACTATCTCTTCACTCATCTTTTTCTCTCCTGAAATAAAATGTCTTTGAATATATACTCATTATTTTACATATCATCTATTTAATCTGTGCAGCAAATGTACTTTTAATCTATCTGCAGTTTGAGTTCTGTGTACTTTCTTGTAAACTGGAAGATTTCAGAGATTACAGCAAAAATATCGATCTGTTAAGTGTTAGAAAAGCTATTGATTATGTGGTGGTACGAGCTTATATAAGCATAAATTGACCTTGCAGTGTGTTTTATTTGTGTTTCAGCTGGGGTTCATTGCAGCACACAGATGTGATAAGTAATACTGTTATATGGATTAGAATGTAGTTTGCAACAAAACTAATCTCTTCAAGAAGTGGTATTCTATAATCTGCAGGAATGTTTAACATACACTTTTGAGAAGAGACATTCAAGTGGGAAAAGGGTAATAGAGGTCAAGTGGAATAAAAAGGCAGAGGGAAAATAACAGGACATTGAAAATGGTGGATCTTTTATCTCTTCTTTTCAAGAATATATGTTCTTTTTTAAAGCAGTAATGTTCTTTTAAAAAAGAGAAAAAAATAAAATAATTTGGATGGGGGCAGCATTCTCCCAGCTAGACTGCAGTGTAACATCAGGAATATTAAAACTGTGTTTTACACCTAGGAATATCCTTCCCTTTTCATTATGAGATGCAAATAAGGTTTGTCTGGAATGGTCTTTCTATGGGGAGAGGGCTCAGTACCCACAGCTCACTATTTCAGTGTGATACCACTCCTGAAGTGCTATTACATTGCTTTGATAGGCTTCAAGCTCAGACAGCCCAGAAATACAATGCTCAGAGGCTTCTCTGAAACACAGCATCTGCTCAGCCTCTCCCCTCATTTTGAAGCCTGTTTTAAATATTTTGTAGCTTTCTGCAAAAGCTAGAGTCACAACTATTTTGAAAACCTCCAGATTATTTGATACCATTGGTGTATAGCCCAAATGACAGCAAATTAAGCTTAAAAGTCTGAAAAGCAGAGAGATGTGGAGGTGTAAGAAACAATTACAGCTTGCACTTAACTGGGCTCTGTAATTTGTTGCAGCAACAAAAACATTTCTTTAAAGCGGGAAACCTTTGAAGAATACTAATATAATAATTAATATTCAGGTTACCTAGGGAACTTGAGACTCTGCTGACTGTAGCTAGAAGATCCTTTGCAGAGGAAGCTACTCAGCACAGCTTTTTTCCCCCTAGACCTTTAAGGATGCCCCTTCCAGGCAGCTGTGAGATTATTTCCCCCACATTTCCAAGTATATACCAAGTTTCTTCCTTACACAAAAGAAATCCAAGGACTTGTTCTGTCTAAAATTTCTAAAACAAATTTTTAAAAGATCAGGAGAAGATTAATTTTATACAGGAAAAGTCAGAATAAAAACATAGCTTTCTCTATGTCCCTAGAGATAAATGTTGAAGAAGACTCCAAAAATCAGTGTTAGCAGGATGCTACTTACACCACTCTTTTAACAATGACTGACAAATACTACTGTGGGGCACAATAAATCTTAACTAGATTTCAAGAGCAATGAACCAAGCACTTGCACATGCTCCTCTGAGGGCAGCCTGTGTCTGACAATGCTGATGTCACCACTACAGACACTAAAATAAGTGAAATGCCAGGAGATTGGTTCCCTGACAGAGTCTGGACAAAAATCAACCACAAAAGAGTGACTGTGGATATGGAAGGTATTAAAGAGAACATCATGGCTTGTACTCACTTCCTTATTCTTCTTGATTTTGAGAAATGCATGTGTAAACATCACGTAGCCGTCAAGAACCGGTGAGAGCTGCCAGAGAGCAACCTAGCCAAGAGCATGTGAGCCAGCACAGCAGAGCAGCTTTAGAGGGAGCCATCTGGGAAAGGGCAGCCCTCTGACAACAAATGGACACATTTTGCACAGCTGCATGACAAAGCTGAGCCAGGTAGTAGAGGGTCAGCCCGGAATCCTGCACTCTGCTCTCCAACAATGAGTTGGCAAAAACACTGTAGTTTGTGCCAGACAGGGCTGTCAGCTGTAACCCTTTTGCCAAATAAAAAGACAAGTATTTCTTTCCTGAACTGCACTTCTAATTTATATTCTTTTATTTGGCCTGGATCTGCTGGGAGAGCAGCTTGCAATGAGAATGGATGTGTACTCCTTGGCACACAGTGCTGTCTTCTAGGAACACAGGAGTTACTGGCTTAGATCACATATTCCTTCACTCCTCTAGCAGCATGATGGAAGCCAGCAGCAAAAGCTGCAAAGGAAAACACAGGAAAGCTTCTCTGAAAAATTAACTACCCAGGAGAAGCTGCTCTTAAACCTTATTAATTAGAGGTTAGTGTATGCCCTGAAGCATAAGACATTAAATCCCTTATAAATATGCATGCCTGTTCTTCAGAACTTCAGGATAATAGAGAGATGTCATAAAATTGATGCCATGCCTGAGAAGCATCTAAGCATTCACTGCATTTAACAGATGGACAAACAGGAAAAGAAGTCAAGCAGCTTCTCTGCAGTATCGTGAGCAGGCAGACTTGTGGTGGCACTGGCAAGTGAATAATGTGACACAGCTTCAAGCTTCTCCTGCTGAAGGTGACTGGCTGTAGTACCCAATTTCTGCTGCACAGCCCCTCAGAGATTAATTTCCTCTTCTGCAAATGGGCGTGTTTATCTACCTATTTAATGAGATTTTCAGACTGTAAAATATTTGTATTATGCAGCTATTACTGACACTAGGCTAAGTCAGAAAAAGGAAGAGATCTACTGCCCAGTGATTATTAATTCATTTATTTCACTACAACTCTAGTACTTTTTCACCCCCATCGCTCCATTAATGCATCATTTCTCAGCTAAAGTTCCCTTCCAAACTAGTTGGAGGCTTAAGTCTGATAAATAAGCCTGGAAGCGCTGTAAGCATGGAGATTTATCCAGCAAATTTTATATAAAATTTGGTTTCCTTTTAAAAATCTTTTTATTTTAAAGACTCTATTGACCAACTGCTAAGAGTCTTGAAAATCTCCAGTATGGTCACAGATTAAGGACAATGGTAAAATTTTAATATCCTATTTCCAAAAAAAAACAATAGAGAAGAATGAAAATGAAAAAAGAAAGAAAAGACTTATGCAAAAGCACCCATCTTTTGTAAAATAATCATTCACAATGACCTACACCAAAGCACTAGTCCTTAGTCATGTCAATGGAAATCTTTGATGACAATAAATCAGATCAAATTTCAGGAACAGAATACATAGTACTGTCATCAGAATTGCGGCATGGGTTATGTGCATATGAACTAGCTAATACTCCAGCTAGTTTGGATGTTAAAAACCAAGAAAACCATAACAGCACAGCCCTTGAACATTGATTCAGTAATAAGTTTGTCCAACCTGTGCTGAACCATGGATTTTAAAAGATGGTTTTCTGCTTGGTATATGAGCTAAAATAAAGCTAGTAAGATCACCTCAATGTATACAGAGTCCACACTTTTTTGGTGGCTTGGCGCATCCGACAGTCTTGTCATTTGAATTTTTCCAGTTTGATCATTGGTTGCATAATCCACCTTGACTACTTATGATACTCCTTGCTGGAAGCCAAAGAAGCATGAGGAACAGCAAGCATCCTGTACTTAAAGTCCAGTCCTATATGATGTTTTGGATGCTTGATTCCCATAGGCCTAGAAGATCTAGAAGGTGGCCCAGTGGAAGGGAGATTGTATAAGCAATAAATGAAAAAGTCAAGCTGGACAAAGGAGTGGCTACAGTGCCACTGATTCAAACAGTGAATCAGTGGCACTGTACAGCAGTGTACAGTACAGCAGAAGCAGTAGCAAATAGCTGCTATGTGGTGGCCTGCCCATTTGGAAGGAAGGGAAGTTAAAAAAAAAATAGATTAGGAAACAAAAAGCCCAAATGTAGCAGGGTGAAGAGTAGGTGAGAGCAGCTTCATCTCCTGTCAACTCTGCGCGAGACACTTGCCTGTTCTGAAACGGAATGGGCTGCTTTACAGCTCCTTATCGCGCTTGATAGCTCTATGCACAGCTGAGGCCTGCCTGAGTCAATACAAAGTTTCTTTAACTCTGTATATGCCTGCCTCAGCTTTGGGAAACACCATTAGTCAGTTGTGATACACAGCAAACACAGCAATTTATGGCGCAAAAAACCCTTTACCCTGTCCCTCCCCCCCCATCAAAAACCACTTCTTCCAAAGGGATCATGCTAAGCATGTGGATATTAAGCTCTCAATGCTAGTTAACTCCAAAAAGTTGGAAGATAGGTCAGTTTATTTATTTTTAACAATCATGACAGAATCTTTAATTATGATCCATGTAAAAATGTAAATTTTTCCCCGGAGAAAACAGAGATGGCACAGTGAAGCTGTTCTTTAAAACCAGCATGAGTTCCAAATGAGAGTGTAGGCTTTTCAGAGCTCACCATCCCTAGTGAGCATGTCCTTCTGTGCCATCCCAAACAAGGACAGATGGAATCATGTGCTGCCATGCTCAGGGGCCATCACATGCAGTGACAAACCAATTGAGTGCCTTGGGCACTTCTGCAATAGAGGCAATAGTTAATTATAGCCTTTTATCAGAGTGCCAGTTCAAATGGACACAATAACATTATCAGTACTTTTTTAACACTGTAGGGTTTATGCCAGGAATCTTTTAATTCATTCTACTTAAGTTAGTTTACTACTCATTATAGTAAAGGTAGATGAAATTACTTACGTAGTTCTTTTATTCTACTCAGTTTGCAGTTAAATTCCAACAAACAAGAAGAGCCCCAGCATCAAAAAATTGATAGAAATTACTACAAGCAATACAAAACTATCTGTTTTAATGGCTTGTTAAAAAAATTTAGGGTGAACAGTTTCTTAATGAGACAATGGAAATTACCTGAATTTTGTAGATTCTTCTGGTTTCCTTACCCAGGTGCAGTTCTGCAGTTTTGTGACTATGTGAAGATAATAATCTTCTGAGTATCTAAAAAAGGAAACAACATCAAACACTAGAATACATATGTATGTATATTTAGAAACAATTTCTAAAAACATTCAAATGATGCATTTATTAATAATAATGTGCATGGTGCATATATAATAGATTGCTTTTAGAACTCCGTGACCTATTTTATTTTTATAATTTGTAACAGCACTATCCTCATTTAACTAGCATGACCTATTAAACATCTCTTCTTAGTACTGGTGTCCTAATGAACTTCAGAAACTTTCAAAAGAACATTTGTTTCAAACTTACATAACTAACCGTAAATATTTTGAAGTTATTAGAAATCATCTCAAATGCAAAATTCCAAATAATATAAATAATTCTCTTGTACTTGGTGGTTTAAACCTTACAAGTGGCTCTTGCTAGCCAAGATGAAACATAACATTTCTCATGCCTTTTCTTTCATTTACTTCATAGAGTCCCCGAAACTCAACCATCTAAAGATAATTTAGACCAATATTTACAGATGTAAGCTTTTCTTTAAACTGTCTGCAGAATAAAACAATATGCTATGTTACATGATCCAGGTTACATTGGTTACATTGCTACATATAACCAAAAAGCTCTCTGCTCTTGAAAATACACGCAATCCATTAAATTTGTTCATAAGTGAAATACTTTGTAACATGGAAGTCAAAAGAATGAAGACATTTTTTGCTTTCATGTTCAATGTTACTACTTCTCCCATTTGTGCCTGGATTATAATACAGGTTCTTAAAAAAACAATAACTGACTTAAGATAACTGGGGGAATAGGAAGAAAAGTTGGTATGGATGCCATGACTAAAATTCTATGGGATTCAAGTCTCCATACAAGATCTAACTTGTATTATTTTAACAAAAATAGCTTAGTGTTGACCCAAACAATCATGAGTGTATTCAAGCTGCCCCTTAGAAGCATCTATTTGGAACAGTTTTACAAGAGTTGGGATGGCAAGAAACGTCACCTGTTTTTAAGTGGAGCATGAGGATGGGCAAAAAGCAATATATAAAAACACTCTAGTGGTTGCAGCAGCAGAGCTCCATTATCTGAAAAATTCCTTCTCGCTGTTCCACATTTGAAATAAACAGATCGTTTGCTTCATAAAAGTACTGCAATTGCTAAAAGTAACTCATTTATCCTACCCTAAGTAAAATGATGACCAATTTCCACATGGAAAAATAAATTATAATTTTTAGAGGAATGCTGCATTAAAACTGGTTTCTGGCTCAAGTTTGCACCTGTGACACGTACAAGTTTCATCCTCCACACTTAGCAAACTCTTAATGGAGCTAGAAGATTATGACTAAACTGATTCTACTGAGCCCTTCACAACTCAAGAGAACTCAATTGGCAGAAGTAGGAAAAGAAAAACCTAGTTTCATTGCAGCTGTAGCTTATCTGACCTGGTGCAGTATGTTCTTCCTTCTTCCAGTCCAACTGCCTTGTGTCACTATGGGCGTTCACCTGACTGCTCCCCTGTTTTTCTTTTGCCAGGTTTTGTACTTGTCAAATGCCTTCATAGGCCACTTTTACTACCAGGGCAAAAAAATAATCCAGAAGGAAAAGGATATGCATACACATTTTCTTATTGTGTTAAACCAGATAAGAAAGATTCTATTTAAGACCACAGCCAGTATAAGCAAAGAGTGATGGAAATGGACAAACAGGGATCAAGGCCCTCTTATTTTGTCAGCTGCCTTGGAACTGCAGCCATAGAAAATGGAACTACTTTTCTGCTGAAGCTGATCCCTAAATTGAGTCACTATGTGGTCAGACAAGTGCCAGTAGGAGGGTAGGGCAGGGAGTGTTTGTGGGGTCAAGGTGAGATAAAAGCACAAAATCAAAATAGCCAATTTTGATATTGAATAACTCATCTGATTTCATTCCTTAATATAAACAAGAAATCACTCTTAGATGCTTGGACTTACAAAAAAAATTCAGAAATTAATAGGATAACAGACCACGAAGAGTTACTTATGCTATCGTTATCCAGGAGAAAAAAAAATCTAGAAAAAGCAAATTCTAGCCTAAAGACATTGATAAGATGAAGATAAGAGTCAGAAATTAAATGAAAAATTACCATCTATTCAGAAAGACATTGCATGGACTGACAATTTTTTAGTAAATTAGAGGGAAACATTTGCTAGGGAGAAGAATGAAAGCATCATCCATAATGCTAGTTCTGAGACCTCATAGGAAACATAGGCACTCACTGTCAGATACTGTAGGGCCCTCTCATACCTGTAACAAAAAATGCACTTAGGCTAAAAACACCAATTACAAAGCAAGAACACTGCAGCCTTTCCACAGCTGTCTCTACTGGATGGAATTGCTCTTGCTCAGAGGTATCCAAGCTCGCCAGCTCACATAGAAAAGCACCATTTCCAGGTCTTACATATCAGAACACCAACTCTGCTCGCCCTATGCATCCAGTTTAGCTACTCTTGTGACTTACAAAGACACTCTTGTCGGTCAGAACTTGCCTTTACCAGCTGGCACAGCGCCACAGGCAGCACAGACATCCCAGCACGCTGTCCTGGGGGACAGGAGCTCCCAACTGTTGCAGTTCTGCAAGGCATCTGCTCACACCAGTAAAAGGTTTCTATGAAATGAACTCCAATAACAGACAGTATTCCTAGAAAAAATTTTTTAAAGACTCAACATGAAGCTCTTGGATTTGCTGCAGCTGGGTTTACAGTCCAGAAAACTTTGTTTTCTTCTCAGAAAGCCAATTTTAGCATTTCCTGCTTTAAAGGACGCTTGGGACTCACTCCTCCAAACGAATCAGTTCAGGTTATCAGGGAATAATTTCATGACTGTGCTGTAACCCAGACAGCCATCTTCTCCACTCTTCCATTTTAAAGAGCTGGCACATTACATATATTTCCAATGGCACTCAGGAGCCTACAATACATATTCACTGAGGCTAAAAGGGTTTTATTATTAAGATAAAAAAAGCTCAGGTAAATTGAGCTATAAAAATACTTGGACAACACAATGATTACAGTGCTGAGAAGAGTGAATGAATGAAACGTGGGGTCTTTTTGTCCTGTTTTTGTCTGCTATCTGCACCACAACCTTTATAATTTTTTGTCCTAGGAGATTCACTTATACTATATGAGCCTGCCTGACAAATAACACCTGGAAGATTTTAGTTTTGTTTTTTTTTTTTTTTCCCCCAGACTATTTGTCAGGTAAGAAGTGGCTTCCTATGTTAACTGTGGCAGCTAAGGTGGAATTACTATGCACATTCAAAGCACTGACAAAGTATTACTATCTTCTAATTTTTGGCAGATATCTAAAGGACAACAGCAAGGACAAAAGTGTAGAGACAGTATGGAGACAACAGGCAAAATGTCAGAACAGACAGATGCAGTCTCACTGGTTATTTGCTAAAACTAAATACCAGCTTGTAAAAAAGGTATTTGAATTAGAAGGAAGATTGAGCAGCAGGAGTGGAAAAAGGACACATTTCTACTTGGCAGTTTATGTTCAAGAAAGAAACAAAAAGAAAAGCTGTGGCATGAAATGCAAAATAAAGGAGGCTCTGTTTTGCCTATGGACACTTTAACGCTACCAAAAAAAAAAAATCAGTTTTATAAGCCCTCAGGAGATTGTACACAGGGCTTGCTCTAGAATAAAAATGGAAAACTGCTAGCAAAATTCAGCACTGCAGGCTCTTTGTCACCACCAGCACATATTTGCTATAATAATAACAACTTCCCACTTACATAGCATTTCTTACTATCAAATCATTTGACAAGCTTTAAATTAGTAATTTTTTTTCTTTCTTCCAATTTAAGTGGCAGAAGTGTCCAGAATGTCCCTGCAAGTCTAGAACTGCAATATAAAGCATTTATAGACCACGCCCATGGGTCACACCTTGAAAAGGTAACAAAATCCCTGCAGCTCCTCTAAGTGAAGGTCAATAGCCGAAATATTCATGGCAAAAAGCAAAGCAAACCCCTGCTCTTTTTTCCCCAAACATCTGTTTCTCTTCCTACTTGCCCAATTCACCTTCTGCCTCATTAAATGGTACAGCCCCAACCACAGAATAAATACTTGTACTTTGTAAAGTTTCTCCCATAACCTCAGCTCCAAAATGTTCTCAATATGAAGAGCTCATCTCCAAAGACTGTAAACCTTTGCAATGTGTGGGATAAACAACAGCATTCATACTGCTGTAAGTAGATTTTGAAAGCAATACAGTGACTGCTTTTCCTTCCCGTGGTGGTAATCACTCAAGTTTTCATTCAACTGCATTCTTTTATCTCTTCCAGTCTATGTTTCAGCTCTCACTATCAATGCATCAGTAGCATACTGGTCTAGCACCTTTCAAAAGAATAAAAACTTCAATGATAGTGTTGCTGAAAGAGGTGAAATACTGATGAGAGAAGAGATTGTAAAGAAGGGGAAAAAAAAGTATAAATAAATAAAGAAGTGATAATAACAGCAAAGACAAAATGCTGGATATATGACTTAAAGAGAAGTGAAAAACTTTTAAATGCAATAAAAAAGTGAGGAGGGACAGAAAAGAGAATAAGTTTTCAAATAATAATTTAATGTTATTTTGGCATTAAGGAAAAATTTGAATTCTCCAGTACTTTCAATAGGGAAAGGCATATAATTATTTTTATCTCACCTTTTGTTTCTCATTCCATTTCTTTTCCCAAATGGAGGGGAGTGGGAAGGGAAGCTCCCAGTTTTAGACAGCATGGCACCATCCATTTTAAAGCTGCAACTCAGTCCTAATGGGAAGCCTTTCTTAATTTCAATGTTTTATTTATTGGTGCATCCTTTTGTTTATTGGTGCATTGATATAGGAAAAGATGTTACAAGTCAAAAACAATGGCTGCTTCTCAGGTTTTCACTCTGGAAAGTGACAAGGAATTTCAGCAGGACTGAAATCAAAGTTGGATGTTTATCCATGCCAGAAAAATACAGAACAGCAAGCTGAAACCCAAAATTAACTTGGGGTGTTTCTTTCCCCAATGTATCTAAAATTGGACTGTCAGTTTCCTGTGGACTTGTTATTATAATGTAATCATGTGACTAACCAGCAGGTCCTTGTACTAGTACATTTCCAAACTTCCTCTAGTCAGCAATGCTGAACAGAATCATTAAATGAAGTTGCTCATAAAAGGAGGAGTGTTCACCAGTCAGGGAAAAGACACTCAATAATGAAATTATACCCCACACTTCTACTCAATATTTTTGTGAATAGCTTGGAATTTAATGTTCCTAACTGACAAGAAGAAATCTTGTATTGTGAAAATAAAAAGTTAAAATCCCACCTCGGATAAATCTTATCCATGTTAAAGAAAAAAATGCAGCAAACATTGGTTGAACAAATTCCATTTTCTGTTGTATAGCTCCACGTTAATAAACCAAGAATTATGTAAAAAGGACAATCTTTTACCCTACTGTTTAAAACAAACAAAGCAGAAAGGACAGCAAACACCTACCTTTTCTTCTTGATAGATGATGACAAAATGTTGTCCTGAATTGCCTTACATTTTGAAGCCTGTTCAAACTGGTAAATTCCATTTTTATTATGAGTTGTTCTGTTAAAAGGAAACAGGAGGAGAAAAAGCAATAAACTTTTAAAGAGAGAACATATTCTACCAATGTTGTCACATTTACTTTGCTATGACAATAAGATTAATAACCATTTATTTCGCTGAAAACATTACTAAACAAACCTTATGGACTTCTATTGTGAAGCTCCTGTTATTAAAAGAGAGTTTTCTGCTAGGGACTATAAAATATTTGGTTCTTTAAAATAACCTTATTTCATAGTCTGAATTATATTTTCCACTTTTCACTGTAATCAGCAAATGTAATTTAAAAAAAATAAATGGAATTGAAAGCCTCTTGAACATTAAGTTTTGAAGATTTAAAATATTCACTAGCAAAACAGACGTGATTTCTTAAAATTGTTGATGAAATGCAATATTCAGAGTGAATATAATACATACAGGAAAGTTTATCCACAGGTGAAGTGGATCTTTGTACCTTAACTTACTGATTCAAGCATAATACTTCCTGCCTTGTTTATTCTTTATTTACACAGAAAGAACAAATATTTGCAAAAGGAATCAAGGCAAGTGCCAGATAGTGATCTTTAATTCCTGTTTTACTTTCACCAAACTCCTGTGTGGTCTTCTTGCTCTGGGCAGCCTGGCCTTCTGAGGCCCATCTCAGAAGACTGAGATGTAAATTAGTAAATGGCTGAGATACCAAGGTCTTATTCCATTCACCTCAGTTCATCCTCTATCCGTCTTCAATCTCATACAATCACCCTCTTCTAACATCAGCCTTTATTCTGTGGATTGCCATTTGTCATAAACATTTTTCCTCTGGCAATATTTTCCATGCCACTCACCATGTTCTTCCCTACCATCTCCCCCTCCTCTTTACTTCTTTCCACTGATTCACTACTTACAGAGCCCTCGGACATTGCAGTCTGTTTGTCCAAACCAGAAGTAGAAACACAGAAGACAGAGATGCTGTGTGCTGTTCCTAGAGAACAACTGAAACATCTCTGTACAGAGGCGCTCACACACAGAGAGGCCTTCCTGCTTTGTGCTTCTGAGCCATCACTGCTTTTACTGACAAGCACCGAAACTCCATTGCCTTCACCTGCTACAATATGGAGACCCCTTAGCAACAAGATTTCTGACAAGCTGATTTTGAAGACCTTGCTTGGGAAAGATGCAATTTCAAGCCACAGAACCACAGAGTGGCTGAAGTTGGAAGGCATCTCTAGAGCTCATCTAATCCAAACTCCCTGCTCAGGCAAAACCACCTAGAGAGGATGAGCAAGGACTGTTACCAGATGCTTTTGAATATCTCCAAGCACAGAGACTCCACAACCTACCTGAGCAGCCTGTGTCAGTGCTCAGTCACCCTTACAATGAAAAAGTGAGGCCTGATAGTCAGAGGGAACTTCCTGTGTTTCAGCTGGTGCCCACTGCCTCTGTTCTATCACTGAGCACCACTAAGAAGATCTCGGCTCCATCCTCTGCACCCTCCCTTCAGGTATCAATAAGGTCTCTCCTGAGCCTTCTCTTCTTAAACTGTTCAAATGAGAAGACTGACTGAAGAAGAAAGAGAAGAATAAATGCTTCTTTATTTTGCTACTGAACTGACTCTCATGGTCACAGCTGACAGGGAAGGAAAGAACCACCTTTCTTTTTCTTTCCATTGCCCATGGATTTTCTAGAGTTAGTCACCCCTAGTAGAAATTTCTATAGGATGTAGGCTGCCAAGGAGAGAGAACAGCCCTCTTCATTTCTTCCCACCACCAATAAATTCTTCCCAGTATACATTCAGTGCTCCTGAGGAAGTATCCAGTCTGTATGCCCCTTGTTGAGGAAAACAGTAAGACAACTCAACATAAACCTCTATCCTTTCAGTTCTGCAGTGACTTCAATAGATGGTAACAGCTGGCACTGCCTACTGAGAGCTCCTTGGCTGCCTTTGCATACAGCTCTTTATCTCATTTTTTCTCGAGGAGTGAAATACAAATAGCAGAAGGCTCTCAGAGCACACAGTTCAGAGCTAAAAACTCTGCAGATCTCACATAGCAAGTGCTAGCAAATATTCTGCCTACAAAACTTATGTACACAGGTTTATTGCAGCTTGGTCTGAATGGTTCTGTCTATGCAGAACAATCAGGTAGGCTCTTTCCAGTTCTCAAACAAATTTAGTTAGCACTATATTATGCTTCCCCTCTCTTGCTTCTTTAACTTGTAACATCAAATGATTATTCTCCAGCTGCAGCTTAAAATAAGAGAAATGGCTACAGGAAAAAGTTTAGCTGCCTGAACAGCATCTTAAAGAAATAGAAAGGGAAAAAAAAAAAAAAAGCACTATTGATATAAGCCAAGTGCACGTTACTGCTGCAAATAAGCCTTTCATTATAACTAAAACCTAAGATGCTGGATGCTGATTTGAGAAGTGGCCCCAGCTCTTCTGAGCCACAGCTGGCCAGAAGAGACCCTGTCTAACATGTGAAGAAAGCCAAGCAGATGACCAAGTCAGAGCAGGCAGTTAGGTGTGACCAGCTCCCTGCGAGGGGTGTTAGAAGAGTGGCAGAGCACCAACATTCTTGCACAACTCTGTGCAGTCCTTACAAGTCCTTACAGCTTCCTATTAATTTGTCTTGAGATCTGTGGGGCAATGATTAAATATTCTCTCAAATACAAACGTTACTCCACAGACTTTTAGTCCTTTAAAAAATTCGTAAGATCAACACAAACAAGTCGCCTCATTTTTTAATATGCAATTGTTTTTATTAAATAATTTTCAAGACCTGAAAAATTCAAAAAAGAGGAAGTCAGAGAAAAAAGAAAGAACAAAAAAAAAATCCCCGTTCTGTTTTGTCATTTAAATTAAATTCTGTTTTGTCATTAAAGCTTCACAATTACTTTTACAGCCACATGATAGATAACCAAAATGCTTCTTCTGTGGCTTTTTACATATAAAATTTTCTTAACCCTCTTTACGTGTTGCAAAAGGTACAAAATTAAAACAATGTATTTGCAAGAGATGTAAAACAAGTACTCATTCCATTAGAAGTTAAATTTCTGAATTTCTGTTTCACTGTCAGAGCGGCCTCTGCTTCACGAGTGAAATCTTTTTGCGTTTAGATAAAGATGGGTGTGCAAGAGGCAGTCCAGACTTCTACTGCATTATTCATGGCAAAGTTGTGCAGACATCAGACTCAGATTAAGTTTCTGCTCATTTCAGACAACTGTGCAAGGCAATATTTACCACTAAATGAATTTACCTGACCTAGTGGATGACAGTCTTTTTTCACCACTTAGAGCAGCACTACAACTTCTGCAATGAAATCAATAACGTGCCTAACAACACAGATATCAGGCTACATTCAACTAATTTTGTGAATTATTAAGCTAAATGAGAACTTGAAGTAGAAGCATTCTGTTGGCTTGAACTCATAAAACTGATGATACAGGGAAATTTCAGCTGTTTTTCCCTAGGGCTTAGATGTTCTCAAAGCCAATCTCATTGGACCAAATCTGAAAAACAGGTTTTTTTTTAATCATATACAAACAGCTTGAGGACCACATACTTCCTATGGTAATTCTAGAAACTCAGGAAGTACACCATCTGTACTTTAATAAATCCACAGCAGATTAAGACCATGTGTTAAGGCCTTATCTATCAGCACGTTTTATTCTATATCTTGCTCTCAGGAAGACAGCAGATCCTCAAACTGTAAAATTGCTTAAGACAAGGATTGAATCTTTAGACAGAAACTATATGGGAAGTCCTTTTTCTGCTCCTGCAGCATTCAGTCCTGAGACAATAGGGAAACCTTAGAGCAGGGAATCACCAGACAGAGGGGTATGTCAGGTAAGAGCGTTCTGGGGGAGCAGAAAGGTACAAGCTACAGGCAGGAAAAGGAAAGGCACACCCTTTAAAAACAAAACAAAACTCAACCCAGTTATCAGAGCAGTAAAATGGGATGGGCATAAGACGGAGTAATGATAGGGAAGAAAAGGAAAAAGGCAGATAGAAAAACTGATGCTGTGAGTTATACTGTAGCATGAAGATTAAAAGGTCACTCCTCTAGATATCCCTCAAAATCAGGTAGAAACAAAGAATGTGGGATGAGATATTCAAAATTTCTCAGAACTGAACTGTCTGGCAGCAGTGAAAGCAACAAAAATTTCACCTCCCTAGTAAGTCCACACTGAGAGTAAGGGAAAATCCCACTCGTTGGCTATTCACTCCACACCCAGCAGAACAAGTTGTTGCTCTTTTCTATAGCTGCTTGCTCTTGTCTCTCAGAAGCAGCACAAGAGCTCTAAACATGTTCCAGCTGAGCATCTCCAGCTAAAAAGGATAACTTCTGTATGTAAAATTGCACCTTTTTATCATTCTACCAAAATGGCACTGAATAGCATTATCCAGATTGTGAATATCTTCTGTCTTAATCTCTCCCTTGAAGGGACTAATTTATATTTGAATCTCATCATCTGTTAGTTGAATACTATTAAAAAACCCACAATCCATACTTCCATCGGAAGGGTGCTGTTAAGTGCTGTCTTTGACACTAATTCAAATTAATCAGATGATAAGAATATAGTGATGTTTTTAAAGTTCACAACACCTTGATTGATAAGGTAATACACAATTTAAATTCTTGGTGAAATGGACTAAAAAAATTGCTTTATCAAACCACGGGGTAAGAATTTGTCTTGTAACATTAATCACAGCAACTGTTAAAGGGACTGATCCTACTATCTTTGTTCAAGTTCCTATAGAGGTATTGCTTATCTAAGGAATCTGGTCTTTAACACAAACTGCACCTTTAAATTATTTGAAAGACTATCCAGTGCATTCGCCAGGGTTATGTATAACGTCAGATACTTTTTATTTATAAAATCTATAAACTGCATGACAGGTAACATGACAAACAACATTCAGACTCTCATGGTAAGTGAAGTGAAAAGAATAAGGTACTTACACTAAAATCATGTTAAAAGGGCACACAATAGAATGACAGAGCAGTTTCACTTGGACCAAGTAAACAGAAACCTTTCACCACTGTCAGAACACAAATGTGTCCTGGCAGCAGCTTTCAACTGAACACCTATTCATTTAGACAGAAGTAATACATGAGACAAGGGTTCAAAATGCACTCCTAAAATATGTCTGCATGCATCACTTGGGAATGAAGGGGCAAAATATTAAGAGAGTAGTAAAATTAGTGAAGTGGACCCCCACTGCTGACTAATCTAAACCACAGCAAATTATTTGTGCAATATACTAGGCTACTCCATAATTGCGGTATTACTCTGTCTCTTCTTCCCCTTCTGACTGCCTGAATGCAATATTTTGTCAGGAGACAGAATGTACAGGTCTCTACAGCATTGTTAATTAAGTATAGCTGTTTATTTCCTAGGCCTGCACACAGATCTGCTGCTGAGAGAGGAATTGGAGAAATCAACACTATGGAACACTGTATTAACACTAACTTGTTTACCCATTGCTTCTCAATCACTTCCTCCCACTGTTCATTACCTCAGTGGTCTTTCCACTGTGCTTGCCTTGGACGTGGAAAGACAGAAAGCAAGCTGGGGAAATAGTAAGTGAATGCCTTAAAACTGGCAACACAGACTAACAGAGTAATGGTGGTCAGTTCTTTAGAGCACTGCTGCCTTGTTACTTTTATGTAAACTATACATAAATAGTGCTATTTTGACTTCCCTTGCAGGACCTGGCGTTATTTACCTGCTACATATTCTTGGGTACTATAATAGGAGTTAGAATTTCTTCCTAAATTTAACCTAGCACACGCTGGGCCTCATAACAAAGAAAATACTACCTAGCTTCTCTTACTATTTTCATTTTCCCCTGATAAGCACTAGAAGTTCTGAGTCTTCTGTTCTACTATTAATGTAACCACTAAACAAACAAATATGCCTGCACAAACAGAGTCGGGGAGACAGGAAAGAAGAGAGGGAAGACCAAGGGTCTAAAGGTGGGAAAAATGCAAGACTTCTTTTTTTGGTTGTACTGTTGAAAATATAAGAAGGTTGTACTTAAGAAAATATATATTGTCTTCGCAGTTACAGCTTAAAATTTGAGAGGACAGTATGAAGCATAGATAGGAGAATCTGCCAGAGACCATACTATTGCAGTATAGTGATACTGGTTCCATGAATAAATCTGGGGACTAGTAGACATATCTTACTAACAGCAGCCTTTCTTTTCAGTAAGAAACCCTATTAAGAGGCATAGTAGGCAGTGAAATAAGCCCAAGACTAGATGTGCAAGTTGCACTGTAGAGGCAGTCCCATTGCTCCAATTAGCTAAGGGTTAACAAGAAAAAGGGGTAAGCAATGTCCTGTAAGAGACAAACCATATCATCAAGGTTATTTACTAAGACACAGAAAGAGAACTTTAGGTGCCTGGTCACCATGTATTTAAACATTGCTGCACATAATAGCTGCCTAAGTATCTAAGAGAGTCTGATCCAATTCCCTGATTTTCATCCTTCAGTTTCATCCTTTTAAAAGAATTACGCAAAGTAAAAGAACAGATTAGCTTTCAATACTGCAAGGCAACAGAATAATAGGACTTTAGAGATTCTTTGGGAGATGTCTGGTTACAAATATGCCTCGAACAGCAAAGGAAATAATGATAATAAAAAAGATTAGCTTGTGACTGTGAAGACTGTCTAGATTACTTTTACTTAGAGGTCAAGGATAGTGCCTAGGTTTTTTTTCTTTTTCCTTTCCTGGAAACATCCATGCACATCCTCGTACTCTTATGCAGGAAAGGACGCTACTGCCAATAACACAGCAATGCCATTCAAATGATCAGGGTTGTTTAGGAGAACCACACTTTCCCACAGCACACTGGAATCTAATTCCCATTGACCAGACCATCCATCTCCATCACTGAGGGATTGGTCTGAACCTCCTGAATGAGTCCAGATGCTCTCTGGATCAAACGCCTTCAGCATGGCCCTTAGCCAGGCCCAGTCCAGCTGCTGCCTGGATCAAACCCCTCCAGCATGGCTCCCTGCCCAGTCTTGCTGCTCTCTAGATGAAGTAACAGCTCCTGGTCAGTCCAGTCCAGCAGCTCTCTCTCCTTTCTCATTAGCCACACATACACCACACAAACTCCTGTCAGGCCAGCTTACTGAGCACAGTCACTCAGGTGAGAAAGCACATCCACTCTTGGATTCAGCTGGCAAGACATCTCTCCAAAGACACTACGGTTACAGGAGCTTGAGTATATTGAAACTTTCTTTGATGAATTATTTACTTGACACACTTTTGCAGTCACCCAGTCATGAAGAAATACAATTTCAGGCTGACAAAAACTAGCTTCAAATTGGTGCCAAAATCCTCCAAGTAGAATAAGGAAAAATACATATTTAAAATCACAATCTCACTTGCCCTATTACAAAGATTAAAAAAATGACATGGATTTTCAGACCTCTTTGGTACGTGTTATTTCTACTTTCATTGCTCCAGTTGTGAGTGTACTAACAGCAGATGGGAAACAATTAGACTGTTCTCTGAAGTGCTCTCTGCCAGCATTTCTAGTCAATTCAAGTCCATGGTATAACACAGATGCAGCTCAGAAACTAGCAGGGAAGAGCGTGAGGAGATAGGCCAGGGGGAAACCACAGACAGCCCAAAACAGATTGGAGAGAAGAATGGAGTAATGGCTACGAACAAAAGCAAAGCAGAACAGTACATACTGCAAAAACCAACATTGAGAGGGGGAAAGAAGGGAAAAAAGAAGAAAGGGAAAAAATGAGAACAGGAAAGAGAAGCAGACTAGAAGCTCATAACACCAGGTACGAACATTTGCAGAATTCTGTTCCTTTACTTTCACTCTAACTTTGAAAGATGCTAAACTTACAGCTTGTGAGAGTTTTAAATATTGAGGGAGAGACCACAAGGGTATCTTATCAGAAATGCACTGTTAGGGTACACTGCAATCATTACTGCAACTAACATCACTTGCAGTCACTTAGGGAAAGCATAGGCTGCCAAATTCAGCTAGATTGAGTGAGATGGTGGCCTCAGTAAGGTTAACTGCACTGTCACCATTGTCTTCAACACAACCAGGACATCACAGTTTCTGTGAAAGACCCAATTCTTAAGTTCTTTCTAATTTTTATAATGCATTTTTGACCATAATGTATATTAACATATAATAGTTATGCTAACTGTAAAGGTAATAATTCCATAAAAAGTAAAAGAAGAAAGCAAAAATATTTCAAAACTACTTCTTACATAGTATTGATCTCATGTGTGGATTACACCACCATCTTCTGCTCTCTTAGTTCTCCAACAGTGTGTGGGGACTCAAGAGCATGAAAACAACAGTCATTAGTATTGAAGTCTGCACGTAAGGCACAATGTTTCACAGCTGATTTTAGAAAGTATCTTCATATTAAAATTCACAGTATAAAATAACAGGCTGCAAAGCAAAAATCTACGCTGATCTAGAAGGTCAAGACAGAGGATCAAATGAATGGGCTCCCACAAAGTATAATGCCAACCCAAAACGAAACAGGCTTCATATGTCTTGCCTTCATCCTATGGATTGTAAATGATACATCTGTATTTTTAATTAAATACAGATTTCAAAAACAGTGACAGCATTACCCAGCTCCAGCTCCACCTTCTAGGAAAGAAGAATAAAAAGATACCTGGAATGTGTCATTCAGCAGGCACTTTTTACATCGTACACTAACAAAATTGCTGTACGCAATATTTTATTGGGCTCAAAACCAACGGCAGAGTGACAGCCGTCAGTAAGAGGGCCCATGAGCAAATAATTCATTGTAGTTAAAGCAAAGTGCCATTTGCTCTAATAATCTCTAACGCTCTCTCTGATCAAGCTACCGAAACAAAAGCAAGAATGAACCGGAGCGAAGGCGAATTTCTGCTTTCGTAGACCCGACCTCAAGGACCCACCTGCGAGCGTCTAGCCCGTACCTGTTCTCGGTCGGAGGAAGGGGCGTCAGGGGTGACCTGAGGGCTCGCACCACTTTAGGCGTGACAGCCGCTATTCCTGCGTCCTCCTCCCAGCCCCTGGCAAGCGAGACGGAAAACAAAGTTGTCAGGACCAGTGACTGAACATCACCCGGCGCCGCTCTCCTGCCCACGACCCGCGCCGAGCCCAGACCGAGCCGGGGGCGCCGCGCCAGGCTCCGCCGCGCCCCGCGGGGCTCGCCCCGCTCCTCCCGCCCTCCCCAGCCGGCTCCGGACCGCGGGCGAGGCCGCCCGGCCGCCCTACCTGGCGCGGAGGGGCTGCTGGCCGCCCAAGCGCAGGAGGCAGCCTCCCAGCAGCAGGCTGCCCAGCGCCGCGGCCAAGGCGATGACAGCCCGCATGGTGCGCTCGGCAGCGGCGCCCGTCGCGGCTACGGCCCCATAGTATTTAAGGGAGGCTGCGGGGAGGGGGAGGCGGCCATGGCAGCCACAGGGTCTCTGCGCTCCGCCCCTCGCCCGCAGCCCTGCGCCGCCGCCGCCATGGGCCCGGCCCGCCGGTGCTGGCGGGGGGCGGCCGGGCTCGGCAGGCGTGAGGGCAGCGCCCGGGCGGCCTTTGCTAGCGGCCTGTGCCGGCGGCCGCTCGGGGCGCTTCCTGGAGCGCTTCTCTGTGTCCAGGGCGGCGGAGCGAGGGAGTCGAAACTGCCCAAACTTTAATGGGGGAGAGGGGCGCCTTGCGGGACGGCGGCGGGAGCAGGGTGCGGGGCTTGCCCGGCGAGGGCAGGCAGCCCTGCCCCGTGGCTGGAGTAGTGAAGCCGCTGCTACTTCAATAGCTCTTTCTCTGAATTAAAAAATAACAGTCAGTACTTCAATAGCTCTTTCTCTGAATTAAAAAATAACAGTCAATGTGTCCAGTGTTTTGTCTTATAAAAGGTATGTTATAAAACTATGCATATTATAGTAAAAATGACCCCACGTGGGACACTGTGTGTGTGCAGCTCTGGGGCCCCCCCAACATAAGAAGGCTGTGAACCTGACCTGAGGGATGAATAGCCTGTCCTAGCTCTGCTGTAGGGCAGGCTGACAGAGCTGGGGTGGTTCAGCCTGGAGAAGGCTCTGGGGGAACCTCATTACACCCTTTAGTGTTTGAAGGAGGCTTGCAAGAAAGCTGGAGAGGGACTTTTTAACAAGGGCGTGTAGTGATAGGACAAGCAGGATGGCTTTAAACTGAAAAAAGGTTTAGATGGAATATTAGGAAGATATTCTTTACTGTGAGGATGGTGAGGCTCTGGGACAGATTGCACAGAGAAGCCCCATCTCTGGAAGTGTTCAAGGCCAGCTTGGATCAACCTGACCTAGTGGAAAGTGTCCCTGCATATGGCAAGGTGTGGCTGGAACTAGATGATCTATAACGTCACTTTCAACGCAAAACATTCTATAATTTGGAGTGGCTTTGTTAAAGAAATGTTTCTGTAGTAAGCTTTTATCTTTCTACCTGATGGTGCATTCAGTGTTGCTTTCACAAGCCAGCCATTGGTATGAGAGCCCTAGTAAGGTGACAAGGGGCCAATAACTAGGTCCCCTTTATTAAAAGTGGGTAGAAGAGATGCTGTGACTTACAGCAGCCTTTCAGTTGTGAGCTGACACCTTGTTTTTGCAGATTTTTCCCTATCCTTCATGTTTTCTATATCTGTGAGCATTTCCTTAAGCCTTGGAGCTGCTGCTCATCAAACAATGGCTAGAAAGTCTCAACGTAAGAGCTCTGCTGCAACGATATTAATGAAGTAACGTGGACTTGATATTGTGAGTGGTTAGATATGACAATAAGAAGCAGCAAGCCTCTAAGAAGTGCACGAGAGGAACAGCACAGCACTGTCTGTGATTGTGGCGAGGTATGCAGGGAAATATTTAATGATGTTTTGGGGCATTTGTTCGCTTGCTGGTGAGCAGGGCTGTGGGTGCTGGTGGGGGGGAGCTAGAAGCAGCTGGCTGGTGTCCCAAGGGGTTGCAGGTATCTGACTGGTGCATTGCACAGTCCCCCAGGGGCACAGCTCAGTTGTCTTCTTGGCTTTGAGGTACTTAATTGTAATAGCAAGACAAAGCCTGTGTGAAGACTTCTGAAGTCCTAAAGAAGTTTGCTGGTTCAAGATTGTTGTGAATCTCAAACCAGCAAACTTCTGAATTGTTGTGATTGAATATAAATGTCTGGAACATGAAGGTGATTCATCCCCATTTCCCAAAAGCTTGCTTTGGGCCTATCCTATAAAACCAGTTGACACTGTATACAAATAAGTAGGGGGCCAACTGTCAAGGTATGTGTATATTGATCAGCAGATATTAGAAATATCAATCCCCTGTCACCTCTGTAAAACATGATGGCTCCTGATTATGTTAGTGGATATTATCAGCTATTTTGTAATACCCGTTAAATACCCTATGTAAAACAATAAGTTTTTCATCTTAAAAGCCTAGTGGTATTCAATTCCAGCTCTGAATCAAAGAAGACTAAGAATTACAGTCCAGAAAAAGATTTGGCTTTTGCCCTCACTGTTATTTCCCTCTGCAATACAGTTTTCCTGTGAGTCCTGAGGTATCACTGTCAGCTAATCCATGGGAAATTTAGTGACGGCAGTGAGGACATAATATTTCAAGTTAGAGGTCTGCTGCCAATGCTAGTCTACAGTACCAGTAAAGATTTTTTTTTTGAGATCAGAAGGTTAATCTTTGTGTCATATTAAAAAGTTCTTTCAAAGAAAATGGGAAGATTATTAACGGAATGTGTTTAGATTAGACTGGGCACTTGATGCTTGTTGTTTACTAACAAGTTTACAAACAGGTATTGATTGATTGTCACAGTATCTTTAAATGTTATCAGCCTTAATTTTCTGGCACAGCAGCTTAGTAGAAAGGTTAAGTGACCCTACTAAAGGGTGAGATAAGAATCAATGGTGAATCAGAATTCAAATTTAGGATGTTGGATTCAAAAGACCAAGTTTCTCCTGCATGGTATTGCCATATCAGAAGTAATGGTGTCAGGTAACGTAATGCAGAGGGTCAAAATGATAAAGGTACAGGTGCCCAAGATGCCACACAGGAAAAGACAGAGACTTAACGGTATACGTAAAGTCTGTGTCCCATCTCATCATCCTCCTCACAGCTGGAAGCTGCTGCGTTTTGGCAGCATCCCCTATCCTCTGATTCCCATTAGCTTCTGAAGTCAGCAGGAATTGATAATTGCTGGCTTGCACAGAAGGAAGAGATCACTAATCAGCCAGGTGGTATCATCATGACTTTGTTACTGAGCTCCTACAGCCCTACTTAGCTGCTAATTTGGAAAAGCAAAATGCAGCCTTGGTTATCATCCATGAAAGGCTGCTGTCCCCCAGGTCAGCAGGATTGCATCTCGAAAGGAGTCTGGTGGAGGTGCCTGTAGGGCTGCTGGTCACATGGAGCCAGCTTAGCCTTCTTATTTCCAGCAGCTAAATCATATTAAAAAGCAATTAATGTTCATTAAATGCTTTCCTAGTGCTGCCTTCTCATCTAAGCAATGGCTGTCACAGGGATATTAGTTATAGCAAATAGGAGGAGAAATGACTGTTACAATTAGCAAGAAGAGAAAGGTACTAAAGATGTTCAGTTAAACTGGAGTCCCATGTTCTGGGGAAGCATGAGAGGCCCCAGAGTGAGGTGTTGGAATGAGACAACCATTTTGGTGTTTTTAGTGCACTCACAATGTGCTTTTAGCAAAAAGAAATTTCCAGCAAATTCACAAAACAGGCATATGTGTTTCAAGCTGGGAAAAAGTCATTGCATTTCACAACTTCATTTATTTCCACCCATGGTTTTGGGCAACATGGTTTTACATAATGATAAATTGCAAGAACTAAGGTGCTGTCTGCCAGACTCCAGGACATCAAATGGCCCCAATCATTCCACTAAAGGAAAATCACAAAAAGCAATGCATTCCTGTACCCCCTTAAAATAAAGTCCAAAATAAATAATCACCTTGTGTGGCTGTTGCTGCTATGCTTTTTATCTTGCCTTAATGGTTTTTTCTCTATTTTTTTCAGGACAGAATTTTGTGTCCTGTAACTTCAAAATTAGGCTTTATTAAAATAATAATTTAATAACTAAATTCAGCCAGCAAGCAGTCTGTTGGGATCAACCTAAACCTAACTAAATTATTAGGTGTTTAAAAGGTGTTTAAATGTACCATCACTTTGAGATGTTCATCAAATGTGCCAGTGATGACTCATCCAGTCAAGCACCATTCACTCTTTGGAGAAGGTCAAGGTGAAAAAAAATCAGGGCACATGGAGAAGTCTTCAGGATTCTGAGTGTCTCATAAGATGTCATACTTACAGAATCACAGAATATTCTGAGTTGGAAGGACAGACAAGGATCATCGAGTCCAGCTCTTAAATGAATGACCTGTATGGGGACTGAGCCCATGACCCTGCTGTTATTAGTTCCCTCTTCTAACCAACAGCAGGACTTGCTTCTTCTGCACAAAATTAATGATTTTTCACTGTTGTAAGCTATGTTTTTATATCCATCAGAGTAAGATATTGTGTACACTTCACCAGATCCCTTTATTTAGTTTAACTGAGAAAGCACCTTCTCCTCTTTAACAATGATGATCCAGCCCAATGGCAGATAAATACTTGTTGCCAAAAATGCATCTTGTAGCATAAGCAAACTTGAGGCCGGTAACTACTGAAAATGAGTGCTCCACTGCCAGCCTCTGTGTGAGCCTTCATCCAATTAAGGGCACCGCAGGCATGTGCCCATGGCTGTGGTTCAGTCCGGTGTGTATGCTTTTCCAAAGGAAGCTGATGGGTCAAGAGGATCTGAATTACAATAAGGTACAAAGGAGGATTTTAATTCAGAAACCTTAAAAACTTGCAAGTTGTTAACCTGAAGGGAGATGATTTTTTTTCCCATGCTCTTTTCTTCCTAAAAGCTCTCTGCAAGACATCTTAGCATGACACTATGTGAAAGACATACTGGGTCAGACTAGAACAGCATGTTCTTCAGGCTGTGCCCAGTAGCACAATCCCAGGGAAGAACTGTGCAGTGATCCATCCCTAGGACCCTTTCTCAGCTTCCAGCAATCAATGGCTCAGGGAATTTCTGAACTGGAGTTAGCTGTGTGTTTAGTTGTCTTTCATGGATTTTTCTTCCATAATTGTGTCTAATTGCTTTTTGAAGCCATGTAAACTTCTGGCATCAACAGTAGCTTGTGCCAATGATTTCCATCCAAGATGAATCCTTCCATTACAATTAGCCCAGGAACAATTTGCAAGTCTCTGTTGTTATTTGGAACTTTGATCTCCTTTGCTGAAGGAGATTATATGCTAAGTATTCTTTTGCAAAGAATTTTACTACAGTTGCACAAAACAGCGCTGCTGTTAATACAAATTCACAGCATCCATTGCTAGAATTCAGTGGGAGTTATTACAGAGCATACTGTGAATGCAAATTAAAAATAATGCACAACAC